AGAAGGGAGGTCTGCACTACCCCACCTTCGCTAAGCCACCACGTTTCTACGGTAGACCCAAATTAAACCTTTCACTTTTGACTTTTAGTCCCCAGCAGTCCTCACCAAGGATCCTTCCACCGTAGCTCCCCCTTCTTGGCCTTGGTCGTGGTGGCCGACGAAGCCTCTTGCAGCTGCGCCAACTTCGCCTCCTTCGAAGTCTTGAAAAGACGGAGTTCAGCGTCCAGCTCTCCGGCCTTCTTCAGCAAGGTGTTCATCACCTGGAAGGGCAAGGTCTCGAAATCGACCTCCAGCCTGTTGCGCTCATCGAACTCTTCGAACCGGTCGTTCGTGAGGTCATCTGCAGGCTGGTTTTGAGCCCTAGGCACCCATTGCAGCTGTAAGTCAATGCCTAGCATGTCCAGTTGAACAGCCAGCTCCATCGCCACAATGGATAGAGGAAACTTGCTCGACCCATACTTTCTCAAAACATGAGTGTTGGCCAAATTATCCGTCAATGCCGTCAACGTCGCAGCCGAGCTACCGCTTGCCCACGACGAACTCGGACCGAGAACCATGACCGCCACCAAGACCCCGATCAACTCCAAGGTAGCGATGTTCCTGAAAGGGTCACCTTTCAAGTAGGCCCATGGAGCATTCCTCCTGTTCAAGCGAAATGAAAACCATTTGGCCCGCTGCTGGTCTGGCGTCGGTCCAGTCTCCCATCCTCCAATCACAATGTCCTCCCCGGCTGCCTTAGCATCGACCCTGAAAACGTCGACCGGATCTTGCTCCAGGGGTTCTGCGGGTCTCATGGGCATCCTCTGCGCCTCCTTCTTCACAAACTCCAGGAATATCACAACAGCATCAGGGAAACGTGCAAAGGTCCCCGGTGAGAGAGCCGACGACCAGGAGAAGAGGGGAGACAGGAAAGGCCTGACATGCCGCAGCGCTCCGGCCACAAAGCTCGGCCGTCCTAGAACGGATCTCAGCTCTCTGCCAACCACTCCTCCGAGCTCCAGTTTGTGATCAATCCAGTTCACGATCCAAGTCCTCTTGGACTGGTTGATGCCTTTCTGGAACGAATGGACGTTGAGGCAGTAGCCTATCCAATTCACCTCGGTGCCGCCCCGCACCTTTGCCCAAGTAACGGGCACTTCCAGAAGTTCGAAGACAAAGAACCACATCAGGATCTTCCTCCAGAAGTCTTTGCCCGTAGCGGTCAGCCACCCGTCATCGGCATAGATCAAATGCAAGAGGCCATAAAGGCGACCCAGAAGCCGATGCGCAGACCTCACCGCGACCGCGATGGCCCGTCCGAACCAGTAGGCGGCGCTTGCCACACCAAAGGTGCCCCGGGTGTGCACGAAGATATCGCCGGACTTGTCACTTGGCAGCCTGAAAGCTTGTAGCCCCCAGTCCCTCTCGTCGACCGGGATCAACTTGTGGGCTCTCGCAATGTCATAGAGCACTGAAAACCTGACACCGCCTCTGCCACCAGACTGCTCCTTCTGCACCTGTCTCAACACAGCCGCGGCATCGTCAATCAACGGAAATCTCATCTTGTCACGAACACGGATCCTCCTGTTGACGTCCACACTGTAGGTCCCATCGTGGATAAGCCGCACCTTCTTGGTTCCCAACTCTTTTGGGACCGCACCCAGCGCAGCTACGGCCAGCCGGCCTCCGAACCTCTGCTTTGCCTCGTGCTCCATCATTCGAACTATGGTGCCATTCTCAACCTCCTTCAGGACCTGCCGTTCGATCTCCTCCGCATTCTCCTCGGCCGATTCATAGTTGTCCGCCAGTATATCCCTCATCACCTCGTCCGTGGCATCGACAGTCCACTTGACTTTCTCCTCGTATACCTTCGGAGTCCGAGGCATCTGCATATCCACTCCGAGCCTGACACCGCCCGAAGCAACCTCCTCCAGGAAAGCGAAGTCCTCATCCTCCAGGGCCTCCGCCAATGCTCCAAGCCTCCGGAAGCGTATCTCCGTCTCCCTGTCACCGCTCCTCTTGCGCGGATCCAGGCCCCATCTAGCCAGATGTTCATCCAAGGCCCTTCTAGCTGCATCCACCTCGTGGCCAAAAGGAGAGTCTCGCACCTTCCCTGCCGCCATAGACCAAAAGATGCCTTTGGCGCTCTCTTCACCAACAGCCTCCAACCAAGAGTCGAAGGCCCCCTCAAACCAGGCCACGGTGGCCACCTCCCTCTCGGTCGCCGGCAGCCTCCTCTTCTCCACTGGCCACGGCTGCGCTCTTGCCGAAACAGTTCTTGCAGGCCCGATGGTATCGGCCCGCCTCGGGAGGTTCATCTCCCGCCAGTTCAAACTGTGCATAATGTACACCAGGCTGCCTATGGCACTCCCCGACACGATGAAGAGTCCTCGTGCCCGAGCGGCCCACTATCGAGATCACATACTCCCCGGCAACCGCTCCAGCCTGCACCACCGTGCCCTCCTGGGTCTCGATCACCTCGTCCTCCGAGCCGAAGGCCACATCTCCAGGTTCGTCCTGTCGATCAACAATGTCATCGCCCTCCTCAGGCTCGATCAAGACAACCGGCCCCGTGGCCGTCCACTTCGGCTTCCACGCCGGCTCAACTGCAAGCTCCTCCGGATGAAACCTCTCCAGCAGCTGGGCCTGCACCTCCATGGCCTCATCCGGGAACCCCACGACGCCCATGCGAACGCTCACTGCCTCAAGCACTGCCGCTTCATCCAGAGGATCACCTCGGCCTTTGTTGTCTCGCAGGAATGCGGCAATGATCTTCTGGGCTCTCAGAATGTTTGCACGAACCACCCGTTCATAGCCTTCATCGGCTGCAGGTCGCCAGCGTCCCATCTGACGTCGAATGTCTGCCGGAATCCTGGCAGCAGCCGACCACGACCTCAGTGTCGCTCGTTCGCTGTGTTCAGTCCACAAAGTGCCAACTCCGTTGAACAACAGCGAGGTCCTCGCGCCGCCTTCCATGCTCCAGAGTTCTCCAAACAGAGCTTGAGACATAGCGGATGCTGTCGAATAGTCCGCCATCCTCCTCACAAATGACCGCCGTCTCGCGCAGGGCAACATAAAGTCGCGGGTCAAAAGACCCGCTTCCATTCCCATGTGGGTCCAAATCCTCCACCCGACCTCAAGCCAGTTGCGCCGACTCACCCATGCCTCCTTGCTGACATAGAAAGGAAGCAGCAAGACTCGCTTCCCTGGCCCAGAGGTCTTCGACTTGTGGATGATGCCCACCAAGTGCGTGTCCTTGAGCTCGATGCCCCTGTTCGGCGTGCCCCGTGTATCATCAAAGCGCATGCCTGTCCAGATCTTGATCAAGCGGAACCATGCATACGCCCTCACAAAAGGAAGCCTGTCGTCGCACACGACCATGTCCTCCATAGCCTCTACGATGGCCAGTGGGATGAGAAGCGCCTGCCTCGTCTTCTTCGTCTCCATTGATGCCAACCTCAACTGGCACTCCTCCAAGGCATTCTTCACAGCTGCCGATCGATGGAAGAAGTGGGCCTCCTCCACCTCGCCAGCATACTCCAAGAACATCAATGTCTTGTATGCAGCCTCCGGTGCAGACCTTGCACAAGGCTCTTCTGTGATCGCCTCCAGGTACTCGGCGAATTCTGTGGGGGAGGCTGGCCATGACTTACCATACGTGGCTTCCATCCATTGGCTGACTTTCTGCCACGTTTTGACGTGCTTCCTCAACGTGTTCGGTCTCCTGCCCTTCGCGATCCGCATGAGCAGGGACTCCTCGCTGGAACGAATTGCCACAGGAAGCTCCGCCTTCTTGACGATGGTTCGTAGTTCACCCAACCATCTGTCTCTTTCCGACTTCTCGGCTTGCTCCCGTAGTGCCAAATCGTCCCCAGCCAAATGGAGCTTCCTGCCAAGCCGGGTCGGCCACTTCGTAACCTTAGCTGTGCCAACCATCTTCACGCGGTCGACCAACTCCTGGCCTTCCAAGTCGCCGAAGACTCGACGTCTCTTCTCCCTCTGATCCAGGAGATGTGCCTCCAAGAGCTCATGTGAACCTCGGCTGGCGTCCGCACGGTGAATGTTCGCGGACCTCATGTCGCACTGCTTCACCAGCTCCTTCAGGTCCTCGAGCCTAGGTTGGAAGCTCTCCTTCCTCTTCCTGGCGGCCACTAGGATGGAATCCAAGGCTTGTGGCCTGCACCCTCTCAAAGTGCCGAGCTTCGTCACTGTCCAACCTAGTGCCGCCAGGATCTCGAGGTCCGGGTCAGTCCACCCGGCCAGCGTGCCACACAGGACTAGATCCTGCATGGCACGTTCCATCGCGGCGAAGCTGGGTCCCTACCTAGCTAACTAGGGGGACCTGAGCCGCGACTCCGAGATCGTTGCATGACAGTCCCCGTGATTCTCACGAGTTACCATCACAGTGCTGGAACAAGATTCAGAAGAGTCCCTTTCTTTTACATCACAAAGGCTAACACAAAAGCTGACCGCTGTCCGCTCAAGCAACCAAGTCACCAATGTGCTGCCATACAGGAGTCGATACATGGCATCGGAAAAGATTGCAGAAGTTGCACGAACTGAACCCTTTCCTGCTGTTCAACCAGAATGCAGTAAGTGTGCTCAGCAAGATTTTGTCTGGGGTTGGACATCAACACAAACTGGTCACACAATCTGCCCAGGATCGAAGGTTCTTTTCAAATCTGTTTTGAGCTACTTGTACTGATGTCTTTCTGGCCAAGCTCTGGCCAAGCTCCAGAGCATGATCCTGACGGCTGAATCTCAACTTGTGATCATCGCCCCTCTTTATTCGACATCAACTGGAGTTAGAAACTGTGACTTTCGCTTTTACTCGCGCTTGGCCTGTTATATTCCCTTTCACTTTGACCGTGCTTTTGCAAGAAACCTGAGCAGGTCTTTTCTCCAAGGCATCGGCATCTTCTGATGGGTCTGGCTTTGACAGACTGTTAAACACAAAGCTCCAAGTGTAAGGCTAAAAGAGTCGGCCCTTCCTTGTAAGAGATGTTCAAATGTCTGCCGTCTCAAAGCGAAACCTCTGAGATTCAATGGTCTGCTTTTGAATCTGTCAATACTACCATCTTCAGGAAGTGCGTCTGTCTTGTGCCTTACAACAAGGATCTCTCAATAGCTCGCCGTTTGCATCATCCAACAAGTCACTATAAGTGTTTAGTTCCTAAAGCGAAGGAGTTGAAGAATCAAGGCTGGCCAAAAGTACGCTTGTCAACGGCGAGAGCGGCGAGAGGACAAGCGACAGGAGAAAGGACCAAAAGATTCCGATGGCCAGTGGCACAGGCCTTGGCTTGTAGAGCCAAACAGCTGGCGACGATGCCCGACTAGCGGCTCTTTGGCAGTACTGTTGTCAGGAAGCACAAATTTCTTGCAAAAGAATCAACAATAAATGTCAGATTCGGGCTTTCCTTTGAAGCTTACGGGCGCGGCTCCAGCCCTGGAGAAACTTCGACAATTTCAAAGGCATCCACGAAGACGCTTATTGCAAAATGATGCAAATGCCCATCATCTCAAACATTGAACCAACACAAAACAAATCTGAGGATACACATGGCAGAGATCGGGCGAACTACCACTTGCCAAATCATTTCACCAGTTGCAGCCCAAGGCATTTCAACTGGCTAATTGAATCTCAAGCAATTTCCTGGCGAATGTCTACAATAATGATCTTGGGATCTATGCAGCTGCAAATTGAATCAAGTATATAATGACCCCCTGAAATATGTAAGGAGTGGTGCCCAAATTGCCAGCCTGACAGCGAATGCTTTTCAGGGCAATACTTAAGAATTCGCGACACCTGTTTACCACAAGCACTGAGTTTCGGCAGTACCCCGGCTGTCTGAGCAAGCCCCAACCCAAACTAAACGTGTAGATATCCTCTTTTGTTGCATCTTTGTCTTGGTACATACTCCACTCAAGAATGAAGAGACACAATGTGTCTCAACTCTATGATTCCATGTTTTTGCTGAAAGATTCAAACTGAGCTTCTTGACATTCTCATGCCACGAAGGTTCTTCTGTTGATAGGCTAATTACCAAAGGGTTAATAGTGGATACTTGAACCTGAACCTCATCTATTAGGCAAACGGAGTGGACTTACAAGGTCACCTTGAAGCATTCACCGACTATCAAAAGCATTCGCGCTGGCTACGGCTGTCACCACAATTGCTCCGACGGACGACAGCAGCTTGCTCTAAAAACTCGCCCGTCCAAATGGCCTCAGGATGACGAGGCGGCCGGGTTAGAAGGGAGGGACGGGGGAACGTGGATGCATGTGCGTTGTGTATAGAATAGGGAGACCCCTAGCTGGCCCTAGCTACTGCATCTTGGGAGGGTCGGCCCAATTCAATTACGGACCAATGTGTCACTACACTCACTTAAATACATGATCTCTTGAAGGGGCTTTATATCTCGTATTGATCACTTTGTGGCAGATGCAACGTTGTCATCTTTACATTGACCTCGTTCGCTTGTCCGTTGATGTTTGTTTACTAGCAAGTGGCATGTTTGCGGGTCACCGCTCTCTTTTGCGTTCAGTGAAAACAACAAATGTGATTGCTCAAGAATTGCTTTATGCTTTGGTGGTTGCTTCCCAGCATTTATTCTGGTCCTTTCTGCCATTCAGCAAACAAGAAGAAGCTATCTAAACATGAATTTGAGATGAATCCACTGCAAGAGGCCACACGCCCATCCTCCAAGAGTACCATCCTCAAACCTTCCAACACAACACGATGGTCCAGTGAAGAAGTCACTGTCAATGTCCCGTGCCTGTTCGAGCGCTTCTATCCATATCTTGTCAAGATACCACAGCAGAGGAAGAACAACTCCCTCCTACTGAAAGATACACTGTGGTTGTTTGGACATAGAAACCCCAAACATGAAAACGGAGGTTGGCGACTGAAGCAACAATCAAAGACGGAAACTCGTGATGCGGTTCGCTCCCATCTCGAGTTCAATATCTTTGTAACCCCAAAGGCACTGCATACCACAAAGTCTGGTCGATCAATCCGAAGCTGTATGTTGGCATGCCAAATCTTCTTTTAAATACCAATAATGGTCATGCTCAGTCAACCATGACATGTTCAAAGGAGGTGCATGCATGTAGCGAAAGAAACCGACCTAGCTTGCGACAAAACGAAATGCTTCTCCGCCAAAGAACACACAGCTTCCTGCAGGACGCAGCTCATGGGTTCAATTGCCCGGCCGGCTTCTTCCCCTGTCGAGACAATGCATGATGCCATTGTTTCGAATGAGCAACGACCTGTCGTCAATAACATTGTAGAAGTAAATCGCAGTTGCATATATATATATATAGATATAGCTTGAATACTGCTAGAATTGCATGAAAGCTAGAATGGGTTCATCTGCATCACAACCTAACCGAACCCTTGAACGCAATCTCCAAACTTCAACTTACTTGCACATTCTCTGGCCTCTGTCAGAATACCACGCTTGTAGATGGGTTCCAATTTGAACCTAACACACGATCGAATTTCTGACCTGTGACTTTAAGAAAGCTGACACCAATAGGAGTCGGAAATCCCAATGCCTCAAGACTGGGCCTTCTACTTGCATCACTTGTATTCCTCCATTATATGGAATTATGGATGCCAGGACATCAACTCAAACCACCCTGTGTCTATCTGTGGCCAGAGAAACGGCAAAAGAACTCGCTCGATCAGCCTAAAGCCAGCATGGTGCATGCATAATCCTGCACAAACTCAGACTGCGGCATATTCTTCAATGCCCAAATCTTATCCTTCTTCTCCTCCACTGCTTCATCCTCCTGAGACGATGAACTTCCTTCTATATACACGGCACTCTTCCTTGTGGCTCTAGCTACAAGAGGTGAGTTCAGCAAGTTCCTCAGCTCCAATGGCTCATCGATGTCAAAAAAGCGCCAATTTTTCCCCAAGCCATAGCTTGTGCGATGTTTTTGTGTATCCTCCTCTGGCCTCTGACTCGTTTCCACTTGCCTCGCCTTCATGGAGTAGTAGATCGGTCGGAAAATTTGATCAACCTCGGGGCGCAACGAAAGCAAAGCGCAAAAGCCATGCGGATGTGTGACGTGGCTATGCCTCAGACTATGTCAAATCGCACCACAAGAACCGAGATGTTGCAATTGTAGCATTGCAAACAAACTTTATGCAACTAATGAACACAACAAACACACTATTTATTGTGGCTGGTGGGGGAGGATGGGCAGTTCGCCAAGGATGTGGAGGCACAAGTTTGAAGGGAGGCACGGAGCTGGAATTAGACCCTATCCAGAAAGCAATTTAAAACCATTTCGTTACCTTTCTTCTTTTTTGGGGTGAGAATCGGTGAGAAGTGGAGGGCTTGGTGAGCCACTGATAGGTCCCTTGAGTGTTGAAATGCTAGGGTTTTGCCCTGGATCACCAGTGAGGGGTTAGGTTTTCTGACATACTTTCTTCCACATCATCACCTGTTGGATTTCCACCAGCTGCAGCACGCCCAAGAGCTTTCTGGGACTCCCAGCAATGTGTCTGGTCAACTTGTCCACAGCTTCACGCTCTCTCTCATCGAGGCCCTTGGCAAAAGTCGGGTGTGGCATTGAGAAAGCATCAACATGTGCATGGAAGAGAAACTATACTTAGGTGATTGTCATTTGCCAGATTGACACACCTGACAGGTCGGGGCTGTTGTTCAACGTGAATCATATTCACATCTTCAGCATCCGCTGCTCGGGAAGGCACCTTCAGCTTGTGGGACAGATTCTCTGTTTCCGTCTTTCGAATGTTCTCTGCCATGGCCTGGCAAATGGCACAAGCAGAGTCTGAGACTCATTCAGTTGTCCCGACCTCAATTCATCAAACCATTGAAGTAATTTTTACGGATGGCTCCATGAGGACGCCAAATGCAAGGTAGACAGGCAGGTGTTGACCCAACGAGGAGATTCACAAGGACGACTCTCTGCAAGTCTCCAAAGACATCAAAAGTCAGGAAAGATCAAATGTGTTGCCGCCGCAATGGAGCAATGGAAGCTTCAAAGAAGGTATCACTCGCTGGAGTTGGGGTGCACAAACCGGCTATCTCGACGACAATGCCAAAACAGGAGACATTGCAAATGTTGTATAATTGTGATTTAATTGTGTTCTGATTTTGCTATTCATCCTCGCCGAAGAGACTCTTTGCTCCCTTGCCACATCTTGCTGTGTTCACCTGCCTGGAGCGCTGCCAAGTATGGCACTGCACCCTGTGAAGCCTGGCAAGAGAAGGAAGCCGAAGCCAAAGTGAAGCCTGTGAAGCTGCACATCTTGTGCGCTTTGCACGTCACGTCAGCCGTCTCTTGACCGCCTGCCACACCTTGAACTTGCCCACTTCAGTGCCTGAAGACGAAGAGTCCAAGTTCATCTCAAGCATTAACTAGTAGCTTCTTGTTACCAGTAGCTACTTGCTCCTAGTAGTACGGCCAGGAGCCCCTAGTAGCGTCCTTGCTCCTAGTAGCGATGCACCTTGTTACTAATGTCATAGATAGTTCAGGTTCTCATCATAGCTAGGCCCCGGGCTGATGATCTTCTTTGCTTTCTCCACCT